TCTCTGGCAAGATGTTCTGCTCCTGAATCAGCTGGGTGGGTCTTGCCTCTAGCCTCTTTGCAGGGAGTTCTACTGAAGGGTTCCCTGCTGGGCCTGCAGCCTGGGTCGAATGAGGATCCCCGGCCCTGTCGTCTCACTCACTGGCCAGGCCTGCGCTCTGGGTCTATTCAGGATCCCGCGGCCTGGGTCATCTCACTCACTTGCCTGGCCTGCGCTCTGGGTCTACTCAGGATCCTGCTGCCTGTGTCGTCTCACTCACTTGCCGGGCCTGCGCTCTGGGTCTGTTCAGGATCCCGCAGCCTGGGTCGTCTCACTCACTTGCCTGGCCTGCGCTCTGAGTCTGTTCAGGATCCCACGGCCCGGTCGTCTCCAACAGTGCCTTTTATTGAGCAAGGGTAGTTTGTCATCTGTGGTTAAGAGGAGATGCAGTATTGACCACATGCAGAAGAAGTTGGTTGAGGTGGTGGTAGGAATATGTAGAACGGTGTTTGTGTGTGTGTGTTATTTTTCTGTACTTCTATTTTCTTAGTAAAAATCATTAACCTGACTTTCTCCATGGGTAGCTGCTCTGCTGCAGCCATTGTGTTCATGTTTGTGGCCTTCTACTACATGCTGGCATTGCTACTCACCACCATACTCATCTTTTGATAAGCTGAAGATTTAGTACAAGAATCCTGTAGAACAGTACAATATCCTTAATCTTCTTGTCCTTCTGGAATAGCCCATCTGTGCTTTCTTTGTCATGTTTCTTTTATGCAGCAAAGTGGCTTATACTGGGTTTCTCTTGGCACATCATATTTGGGGGTTGTCTCAGTTACTTATCTCTCTCGCTGGGACAAATACCCGACACCCAAAATGAAGGAAGGAAAGGATTATTTAGCTCACAGTTAGTGGAGGATTCAGTCCATACTTCCCTGGCTCCAAGGCGGATGGCAGCAGTTCATGGTGGCAGAAAAGAACAGAGGAGGAGCAGCAGCTACAGCGTCTATCAAACTTCTCTCTTCCTTCCGCACCAGCTGCAAAGACTAGAGCTCTGCCAAGGAAGTGGCAGCAGCTGCTGGAAAGAACTGAGCTCCTCCAAAGTGGTGCGGCTGCAATGATAAAGCTCCTCTAAGGAAGTGGCATGGAGCTCTGAGGACGTGGCACAGCTCTGAAGCCTTCCTCAAGCCCTTTATATACCTTTTAAGGGCTGAGTCACTCTGGGGTACACTACATGGAACTACCCTGCAGGGCAAGGCTGCCCCCTCCGGCCAAGTTGACACAATGTATCCACCACCACAATCCACCCCTTGTCAACTTAGTACTGGTAGCTGTGAGAGCCTGTATAAATGAAAAGTTACACATGTGTAACATTCAAAAATACAAAATAAATATGACAATTCCAAAAGTTATACACAGGAGGATACAAACTGTTGAGACAAAAACAAGTCCAAAATCCAGAAGGGCAAACATTAATTCCTGTAGTTCCATGTGGAACATCCAAAGCAACCTGTAACAACTTGTGAGCTCCAGAAGCCTTACATGGCTCCACCTCTACAGTACTTTTGCTACTAGCTCCATGGCTTCTCTCTGCCTTGCTTTACTCCCTTATGCAGCTTTCCTTAGACAATCCACATTCCTGGAGATTTCACACCTGAGGTTTCCATTGAATAGGCTTCTCACAGCTTTATAGACTGCCTTCTCAGGGGCACATTGCCTGAATTCCTTATTCTGAAATCTAGATGGAAGTCTTCTTAACATCAGAACTCATGCATTGTGAATGTGCCTAAAACCAATGCTACGTGGAAGATGCCAAGGGCTACTGCCAGCAGGAGCAGCAGTCATCATTTCTTTTCTCTTGCCTGTAGAGGTCAAGTGCCTGGATTGCTGAGCACTCTGACCCTGATTCTGAGGAACACATTCTCTAAGACACCTCCATTCTGGAACCTAGTGTGGTCCTCACCTCTGTTCTGCAGTATGGGACTCTGGTTTCTCCTCAAAGCAAAGTCTCATACCCTTAGGATTCTGAGGCTGCAAAGGGTAAGAACCTGCTACCTCCTGTGATGCCCTCAGGACATCTTTTGCATTCTCATGTTCTTCCTGGGCAGTGGAAATCCTCTCAGCTCTATCTTTACATTCCACAGCTTTATTAGAGCTTCATTTCTGGCCAAATTCACATTTTAAATCTGTGAGCTCTTTACTCTTAACTTTCAACGTATATCTGACTAAAAGCCCCCAGCAATAGCCATACCACTGCCTCAACATTCAACTGCCTTGAGATTTCTTTTGCAAGAGTAATTGGTCCACTGCACTTAATCTCAGTCTCAGGCAAAGTCTAGACAGGAGCAAAAGCAGACAGACTTCCTGCCAAGCCATCCCAGCAGAAACCTCTTAAGCTTGGTCTTTACCGGCCAACTTTCTTATTCTGGTTTTCTGAGCCCTGACCAGAATCTCCCATACAGAAGAACCAAAGGCATTCCAGCTCTTCTCTGGTAGACATCTCCAAACGTTTCCTATCTCTTATAAGCCATTCCCAGAAGCTTGAACAACATGGTCAGGTAGTCACAGCAGTGGCCCTACTCCCAGTTCCAAAATTCTGTCTCAGTTATTTTTCTCTCATTGCCTGGACAAATACCTGATCCCAAACTGATGGAAGAAAAGGATTATTTAGCTCACAGTTAGGGGAGGTTTCAGTTTATACTCCCCTGGAGTATAGGGGGAACAGCAGCAGTTCATGGTAGCAGAGGTAGCAGCAGTTCATGGTAGCAGAGGAGCAACAGCAACTTCAGCGTCTTTCAAGCCTTCCTTCCATGCAACTGAAGACCAGAGTGCCTCCAAGGAAGTGGCAGCGGCTGCTATGAAGAATTGAGCTCCTCAAACTCCTCCAGGGAGTTGGCTCTGAACTCCGAAGACATGGTGTGGCTCTGAAGCCTTCCTCAATTCCCTTATATACCCTTTAAAGGCTGAGTTGCTCTGGATTGGCCCTCCCTGCCTTGTGTGGCAGGGCCCACACCCCCGCCCCAGGATGTGCAACCACAGAGCCCATCCAGCCAAGTTGACAGTGTATCAGCCACCACAGAGGTGCATAAGTAGACCATTGATGAGCAGATAAGGACACTGACGATATAACCATCATGAGTGTGAACATTCTAGTGTACTGTCAGAAGGCTGTCACAAATTTCTTACCTCCTAGTATTTTTTTTCTGCCTATGTGACATGATCTCTTGGTGAGCCCTGCAAATAGCACACAAGACTCATACAGTTAAGTGCATGCAAAAGGTACTGCAGAAAAGGTTTCTATTAGGAAGGTCGGAGGCCAGGAAGATGGCTCAATAGAGTAACACAAGGGCCTGAGTTCATTCCCTGGTTCTGCAAAAAAAAAAAAAAAAAGGAAGGTCCTGTTTCCAGGAGTGAAATGTGGAATCTGATCAGTTACTTCAAAAAATGACTCACTTTTAAATGTTTCCCTATTTTATGTTTGTGGAAAGACTCTATATATTATAGGTGGATAAAAAATTTAATTGGAATTTTGTATAAATGAATATAAAATGATTACTTTTGGTGTTACATGGAACTTGCACTCCTTTAGGAACACCCATAATCCTTTAAATGAGCACATTAATCAGTGACTATCCTTTGTCTTTGAAAGCTGTTGTTTATACAAACCTATAGGGCTCATTTTATTTAGTTGAAATGCTGTCTTATTATAAATTAGCAGTAATCAGGTGCTTCTGATGAAGTGAAAATGTATATCTGCTTTGTAGGAAACAGAGTTTTCCTCATTTATCAAAGTATTGTACTTGCTTTAATTCTTAAGCATAAGTGAACATGATATAAAAAATATATGCTTACTATGGACAAAGTCATTTAAAGCTTTAAGTGTATTTTTATTTGTAAGAAAATTACTTATTAAGAAACTATTATACTTACTGTTCTAATCTGGTAAGATATTTTTAAGAATTTGTGGGCCAGGGAAATGGCTCAGTAGAATAAGTGCTTTCCTGGTGAGTGCAAAGGCCTGAGTTCAATCCCTGGTTCAGCCAAAAAAAAAAAAAAAAAAAAAAAAAAAAAAAAGAGAGAGAGAGAGAGAATTTGCAAGTACTTTATAGATTTTCAAAGTTGAATGAGAGAAAAAACTGTTAGTTTCTATTTCTTAGGGGAAGTATAGCAGTGTTGTATGTATGAAGAGCAAATCAAACATTGTAAGAGTTTATGGAAAAGAGTAAATGTGAAGGACAGAAAATAATCTCGTTTGATTTGCTTTCTTCCTGAACAGGCATACTAATTATTAGACTTGTCTTTATTTCTCTGCTGAGGCAAAGGAAAGAATAGCCTACTTTTCAAGTCACTCAGATTTATAAAAGAAGAAATTGTTATTTGGAGTTTCTGGTATATGTTGTTGGTTTTATTTACAGAGAAGAAACTAAAAAAAGATGAACCATCATTGAAACATTTGAAAATGAAAATTTATAACTTTTTGAGTGCCAATATAATGCCATAAAAATTCCACACAAAGAAGCCTTGTTTTCTGTACAAAATTATTGAAACTACTGCACAAAAGCTATTTGATTTTATGTGTGTAAGATATATATGAAACCAAACTGAATTTTGTATTTAAACTTGGGTCCCCTCCCAAAGATAACCCATTATTTATGTGCTAATATTCTAAAATCTAAAAAAATACTTCTCTTCCCAAGCATTTTTGGGTAATACTAAATGCACATAAAACCTGAACTGTCATGCAGAATTTCTTTTCTGCAGAGATTTTAATTTTGAGAATCCTTTTTTTAGATATAGGAATATAAGTAATATTTCCACTTTGTCTCACAGGTTTGGAAATACAAAGTAAGAAATTAACATATATGATGTTGGAAACTTGTGAAGAACAACTTTGTATGACTGAAAGGCTTGAAACAGATGTATCTTCCACATTCTCATCAAGAAAATGACTACAAAAGCAGTGATGGGTCAGATAGACCATTGGAAAATTTCCTAGGAGAGAGCCATAGAAAATGTACACTTCAGAAGAGAGATGTAATCAGAGAACTCAAAAAAAGAAAATACATCATGTATGCTCTCAGAAGCATAAAAAGATTTTTATTCATATGCATGAAATTACTCAAATAGATAATCAAATATTCCAGTGCCTTGAACGTGGACAAAATTTCTGTGAAAACTTAGCTCTTATGTGTGAGAGAACCCATACAGGGGAAAAACCCTATAAATGTGATATGTGTGAGAAAACCTTCATCCAAAGCTCAGATCTTATTTCACACCAGAAGATTCACAATTATGAGAAACCATATAAATGTAGCAAGTGTGAAAAGAGCTTTTGGCACCACTTAGCCCTTTCAGGACACCAGAGAACGCATGCAGGTAAAAAATTCTATACATGTGACATTTGTGGCAAGAATTTTGGTCAGAGCTCTGATCTGCTTGTCCACCAGCGAAGCCATACAGGCGAAAAACCATATCTATGTAGTGAGTGTGATAAATGCTTCAGTAGAAGTACAAACCTCATAAGGCACCGAAGAACTCACACAGGTGAAAAACCGTTCAAGTGTCTGGAGTGTGAGAAAGCTTTTAGTGGGAAATCTGATCTCATTAGCCACCAGAGAACTCACACTGGTGAAAGGCCCTACAAATGTAATAAGTGTGAGAAAAGTTATCGACACCGATCAGCCTTCATTGTACATAAAAGAGTTCATACTGGAGAGAAGCCCTATAAGTGTGGTGCCTGTGAAAAATGCTTTGGGCAGAAATCGGACCTTATTGTGCACCAGAGAGTCCACACAGGTGAGAAGCCGTATAAATGCTTGGAATGCATGAGAAGTTTTACTCGGAGTGCCAACCTAATAAGGCACCAGGCTACTCATACTCACACTTTTAAATGCCTTGAATATGAGAAAAGTTTCAACTGTAGCTCAGACCTTATTGTACGTCAGAGAATTCACATGGAAGAGAAACCACATCAGTGGTCTACATGTGAGAGTGACTTCCTCCTTGGTATGGACTTTGTTGCCCAACAGAAAATGAGAACTGAAACAGAAGACCTGCACTACAAATACAGTGTATGTGATAAAAACTTTCATCAGAGCTCTGCCCTTCTTCAACATCAGGCAGTACACATGGGTGAAAAACCATATATCTGTAATGTGGGTGAGAAAGGTCTTGAGCTTAGTCATCCCCGTGCTTTGGAGGCCTCACATATGTCTTGATCAGACAAGAAGTTTTACTATAAGAAGTGTATTTACATGGTAAAGAACTCATTAAGATGAATATTAAGTGAATATCAGACTTTGATGAGAGCTCAGACTTCAATGGGGACCAGACAGCCCATGGTTATAGGAAGTGTGAAAAATGTTAATAACCAGAGTTGTGCTAACAAAACATCTTGCCACTCACTTCAAAGAGAAACTGCAGTTGTCCTGAGTGTTGGAAAAACTAGTGTGAATTTAAATTTGGTCACAGGAAGATTTGTGTAGGTAGAAAATTTTTCCTCTGCAGTCAATATGAGAGCTTTCAGCCCTCATTGCAAGAGAATTCACCCCAGAGAACAACTTTTTAAATGCCTTCAGTGTCAGTAGTATGTACGTGTCATGGGACATCAGAAAAACCCATTCTGGGGAAAAGCCCCTGCAAGTGTGGGGAAAAAAATCTAACAACTCTGACTTTCTTACCTAGCAGAGAAGCCATACTGGTGAAAAGTTGTATATATGTCCTGAGTGTGGCAGAAACATTAGTTGGAGAGCCTTACTTGGGTTTGTACACAAAACAAAAACCAGTTTTGAGGAAAGGCCCTACAGGGGTTTTAAATAAAGCCTGTCAGTGATCAGTACTTGGGGCATATAGGGGAACTCATAAGTAAAAAACCCATGAATACCTTGAATCTGAAAAAGGTTTGCTAGAAGCTTCTGTTTTTATTGGGCCCCAAAGAATCCATTCTGCCAAGAAGTTTGCTCCAAGTGAAATATCTAATTGTGGGTGAAACATCTATGTATATATAACATGTATGAGAAAAATTGTTCTCACAGTTAGTTGACCCATATTGTAGTGATAACTTTGAATGGGAGTCAGTATGGGAATTGTTTTCTAGATCCCAGAAGCTTGTTGTGGGAGAAGCTAGGGCAGGTCAGGGTAGACCTGAAGGGTAACTCAGGTGAAGATGCTTTTCTTATGTCTGAACCACTTAATAATTGCTTTAATTTTACTTTAATCAGAAATCCAATTAACACAGGACCTCATACCTTGGGCTAGAACATGTGGCTTGTGTTACTTTTGGGGGAAAAAATTTTAATTTTTGCCTCAGGATATTTTGTCCTTGGCTGGAATAGGCCTAGTGTTGGTAGTAATATGGGAGCCTTTTACTAGCTGTGAAAGGAACTGAGAAGCTAGGGAGCACTTATCCTAGGTCAGAACACTCCCCCCATCAGTTACTTCGTAGATAAATTTCATAAAAAGGCAAAGTCTCTTTAACTGTGTCCACAGTTTGAGGTATACCCTCAATTTTTAAAAAATATCTTAGTTTTCATCAGTATTTGACATACTGGATTTGTGGATTTCTTTCAACTCAAAATCCAGACTCCAGGATAATGGTTACACTGTCAGTGTCTGTATTTTTGGATTGGATTTACCATCTCTCTCATTGATCAATCCTCTTAGTTGGCTCTGGCAAAATGGCCAGGGGAAGGTTGAAAGAAAAATATGAGCCTGAGTAAAAAGACATAGGGGTTTATTACTAACGGAGGGGCAAAGGTTTTCATTTTGTGTGTCTTGACTCCAAAGCAGGTGTTCTTTCACTCTGGTTATCCTGATGTTTAGCAAGTTGAGCCTCATAATGATCCATTTTTTTTTATTTATTTCAGTTCTGCCAATGAAAGAGAAAAAATACCTTTTAACCCCAGGGAAAGGATTGTACTTACCACAAAATAAGGTATATTTTGGCTTGGAATACAGGACTGTAAATGCTAGAAGGGAAAAGTAGTTTGGCAAATTCACCATACGTTCAAGGACAAAACACTTGTCTCCAATTTAACAGGGTAATTATGATATATCTTTTTTTATCTTTAACATTCTTTAGAAATACTGTTATCCCTGCATGTATAAATATGCACTTCTTAGATTTTGGTTTCTTTTTTTTTTTTTTTTTTCTCCCTTACATTAAAAGACAAAAACCCTTTGTATATGGTACTCTGGACTGGTGAACAAATATTTTGTTGATAATATAAAATGAGTTCTCATTTTTTGAGTTTGATTTACCTGAGACCAAACTCCAGAACATATTAGTGTTTAGGTTCATGGAGTGGGCAAACTATTACCTTCAATAGGGCTATAAGCTTTGATCCTAATGGCTAGTTGGTGAACATAATAATCTTAGTGCCAGTGGCTATAGCTCATAATGATGATAAAGAATTTGATTCATTTTGCTTCTTTTAGGAACAAGTCTTAAAAATTTATTTGATCTGACATGTTTCATTAATTTTTATAAATAGCTGTTGTACCATGAAATGTTGCCCAGTTGATAAAGCACACAAGGTGTATTTTTTCCCTTTGGTGAAAATAATGCCTATTACAATAAATTTAACAGTTATAACACTTAAAGTAATATTGGGTGTATTGCATGGCAGTGATGAAAATTAGTCCTTATGGTTACTTAGTAGAGAAATCTTGAAGAAGAGGACAAGATTGGTATCACTAACAGGACAATGACTTCTTTCAACTAATTTTTGGTAATTGTCTCTAGTCTTTAATGATGGACCATCTTTCACATAGAGAACTTCGGGGATATAAAAACAGGTCTGAGGGGTTTTAACCATGGGGGAAATGGCATTGATATCGTATAGTGTCACCTGAGGTTGGAGAGGACCACTGGGGAGCCTGTAATCAAAACTAGAAGGTAATTTCTATGATGGATGGAGGTTCCTTCGAAGCAGTGCCAACCTAAATCTACCTCAGGTAAGTAGTTAGAATAACTTTTTCAAGATTTCAGACCAAATGAGCTATGTTGTATTCAGTCAGTGTATTCATATGCTTTAATGCTTTTGTTTTCCCTTAATTCTTGAATAAACATTTGCTCTCAAAAACTCCTCGTTTTGTCTCTACTATATAAGAAATTAGCAGCTCTCCTATTCTTGTCTTAGAATAATTCATACTGACTGATACTTTCTGAGGTTGATAATCACCATTTAGCCATCTCTAGAATTTCAGAAATTTTGATGCTGAGGCAGAGCATAAAAATCTGGGAGGAATATTTTCTGAGTTTTACTTTCAACCTTGAATCTCTTTGGAGACTCCACTGTGACACAAAAACAGGACAGGGAGGATTAATAGGTTGAACTGACCATTTTTGGAGTGCTACTAATATTCAGTAGCTGTTATTCATATAATTGACCTTTCAGAAATTAAGTAATGAATTTGAATTTGCAGTTTCCAGGAGAACACACGTTTAGCTCCATTCTTATTTGTTGAATTGGATCATCTGCTCCACCAACCAAAAGTTGTGCCAATCAGAGTTTCCTGACCACTTCAAAAGAAATCTCTGAGGGGCAGGGAGTGCATCTCAGTGGTAGTGCACTTCTCACACATCTAAACTCCTGGGTTCAATCCTCAGAACTGGAAAAAAAGTATCTTTCTAGAGACATAAATATTCTGCCCCCTTTTAACTTGCTAAAGCTTTCATCTTTTCTTCAGTCACATGTTTTAATATCCTGTGGAACTTTTTCACAGTCTTTTTGTGCTTCCTTTGAGATTTTTTCTGTCTGTCCATATGGATATAGATACCCTTCCATTCTCTTGAAAAAGTTATGTTGCTCTTTACTATGCCAGTATTTAATTTTTTTCCTTTTCCAGACTTACCAGCTTAAAATTTTGACTACCTCCCTTCTTACCACACTAAAATGTGGCTTTTTCCCTCAAGTTTCTGCCCCATCACTCAAAGATCACTTCTGAACTTAAGTGGAAGATGTATTCTCCAACATTGCATGTCACTTTCATCCCCTTTCTCTCCAGTCCATCTTCAGTAAATTTAGCTACTTTTGTCTTGAAATTCTATTCAGACTTTCCATTACTTACTGCACAAACTATAAGTTTTCCCAACATAGCTTTTTATTAAAAGAGTAAAGCTTGGTCCTTTTTAAGCTATATTTTAAACAACCTACTGTAGACATTGCATCCTCACTTATTAGTAGCAGGAGTTTATAGAGTTTAAAATACAGTCATTTTTGTCAAGGTTAGGAGCCCAGAGTTAAACTGATCTAGCAGATATTTCTTTTTTTTTTTTTTTTTAATTTTTTTTTTTTATTTATTT